GCCCAGGCTGGAGGCTGAGCAAGTCTGTTCCCTGGCCTTTGCTGGTCTTCATATCACTTCTTCCAAGTGGCCTCCTCCCCGCCTCCAGGAAGCCCTCTTTGACTTCCCCCAGCTGCTCTGCAGGCCCAGGGTGAGGTCTGGTTCTCTGCCCAGGGATCGTGTTTGGTCTGTTTCTGTTTAAGTTTACCCTCTCTAATCTCCCTCTTCAGGCCCAGAGCTTTCCAAACACCCCATGGGTCTAATCAGGACCGAAGGAGGGGCAGGAGGGGAGGTTGTGAGGCCAAACCTCAGCATGCAGGGCCTGCCATGGACGCTGGCCCTGGGCCCCCTTGGTGGAAGTTTCCTCTGGAGCTGCCAGGGCACTGCCCTGACTCCCCAGACCTGGCCCAGACCTCTGAGCTCCCCTCTGCCACGCTGAGCCTGGGGATTCCAGCTGGGTCCCTGCTCACCTCTGCCCACCCTTTGTATTTGAGTCTGTACCTCTCCAGCTCTTGGGGTTGGTCATTTTTCATGCTTCCATGGCAGGAAGTTGGCAGGTAAAAAATAGTTCCAGGCAACCAAGTTATTTCATTCTCCTGCTGGGTGACCAAAGTTACAATGCTTGGCTTCTCTGGGTGTCAGCTAACAGAGAAGAATCAAACCCAGATAGGGGCTCACTTTAATTATAGCAGAGGAGGGCCAGGTGTCTCGATGACCTGGGAGGGCAGGAATGGGAAGAAAGAGGCGGGAAGAGAGAAGCCTGCCCAAGGTGGGGGACAGACTGCCTTTCAGGGGATGCTCTGGACCCACTAGCTGGCAAGGGGCAGGACGCTTTCCTTGTTTGGATAGGAAAGTTGTCATTTGCTCCCATTAGCTCATTCGTGCTGTGCATGCCTACTGTGCTCCTTCAGTGTGCCTGGTGCTGTATCAGAACCGGGGACCTGAAGCTCAACAAGGGCATTATAGGTCACAGTGCCCTCGCCTTCATGGGACTTGTAGGCCAGGAGATCTCAGCTGGGGAGAGATGTCATTTATTCATCTCTTCACTCATTACATTTATTGAGCACCTACTCTGGGTCTGGAATCCCTGGGGATGCAGTGGGACATGATCCCTGCTCTCAAGTAGTTTAAAGTCGTCTGGGGACAAGGAAGCACAAAGGACTGGAGCCCTGCTGAAGTAGAGGGGTAGGGAGTCAAGGATGTGGGGATAAGTGTTGGCTGATTTAAATGTGCTCCCGAGGATCAAGAGCAGGGCCGGGCACAGACAGTACATGTTCAATAAGTGTTTGTGAAATGAATGACCTGTGTGTGGGTCAGACATTTCTGAAGAACTTGGAAGTCAAATAATAACATAATTTAAACTATATAATAAAAATGCTGTGAATTAGAATGTCAGGAAGTGGCCAAAATGGTATATATAGGGAAATTTATCATCTTTAAGAATTTCATATTGGAAAAGGGAAAAGATGGAAAATTAAAACATTCAACTTAAGAAGTTGCAAAATGAAAAAAAAAATAATAAAGAAAGTAGAAGGAGGGCTGGATGCGGTGGTGCACACCTGTAATCCCAGTGGCTTGGGAGGCTGTGACAGGAGGATCACAAGTTCAAATCCAGCCTCAGCCACTTAATGGGGCTATAAGCAATTTAGTGAGACCCTGTCCCCAAATAAAACATAAAAAAGGACTGGGGATGTGGCTCAGTGATTGAGTGCTCCTGGGTTCAATCCCTGGTACCAAAACAACAACAAAATAAAACAGAAGGAGGGAAGTAAGATATGTAAGTTTTGAATATAACTGTCATATTCAGATTCAGAAATTCCAATATGTATTTGAAAATTAATAAAATAGAAAACAAAGATAAAATGAGAAGATTGTCTCAGCTCCTCTGGGATGAGTGTGTAGCTATCTGTCAGTCTGTCCTGCATCTTGAGAGCAGGGTTTGTTCCTTGATGTCCTCAGGGGAAGGGATCAACTTGAGTCTCTTACCTTCTTGGTAAGGCCACATGAGTCTGCTTGCTGTGTTTGACCAGTAAGCTGTCTGTCATTCTGATTTTTTGGCACTGGGGATTAAACCCAAGGGCTTTTAACCACTGAGCCACATCCCCAGCCCTTTAAATTTTTTTTTTTTTTTTTTAAATTTAGAGACAGGGTCTCACTGAGTTGCTTAGGGCCTTGCTAAGTTGCTAAGGCTGGCTTTGAACTTGTGATCATCTTGCCTCAGCCTCCGGAGCCATTGGGATTACAGATATGTGCCATTGCATCTGGCCAGTTGTCTGTCATTCTTTTTTTTTTTTTTTTTAAACACAATACCTGTATTTTATTTGTTTATTTTTATGTGGTGCTGGGGATTGAACCCAGGGCCTCACACATGCTGGGCGAGCACTTGACCGCTGAGCCACAACTCCAGTCACTGTCTGTCATTCTTAACCTCTGCTGTACTAGCAATGACATCACTAATGATCCTTTTTATTGGTTAAGCTATTATAGGTCAGAGTGCTAGCAGTGAGAGATGTGGCATTCCTGATAGGAAAGACCACAGCTATCTCATCAGATCCCCAGATACCCTGAGAGACACAGGAGAGGTGTGTGCATCATGATACCAATGAGGAAACTCAGGTTGCACTTGCCTGAGATCTCGGGCCAGCGAGTGGGTGGGCCGGCAGGGGCCAGCACCTCTCTTCTCACCTTCCACAGCACCCACTTCTGCACTTGGTGAGAAAATCTGGGTTGGCTCTCTTGAGTTGCTGTTTTATTGCTAACCCTGACCGTGGGTTCCCTGGAGTGGAGGGGTGGATGGCACTCTTGGTGTCCAAGCATAGAGCTGGGCTCTGAGAAGGTCTTTGATCCTTATTTGTTTATCTGGCATTGGATTGGCGGGATTAGGCCTGTATCTATTGGAATATATTCTGGATGGTGCCAATGCTATGGTTGGGCAGAAGTACTGGAAGAAGAACCCTGCCACTTGGGGAACCCCCATCTGTGCTTGCTGAGGTGGCCTCCGTGTGCCTGGACAAACCAAGAGGTGCTGAGAGTGTGGATCAACATTATTTCAGTCCCCTTGTAATCTGGTGGGGCAGGGGACTTTTTCATGTGCAAGTCTGAAGGTATAGCTAGGACCCTGGACCCCTTTCTCTGTAATTGGAGAATTCATAAATCCCACGGTCAGCCTGACTGACCAGTGCCTGACCTAGCCCAGGGGAGAGATTAAAAACAGACACAAGCCTTTATCAATGGACAAATCTCAACACTTTATTCATCCCTTGGCAGGGAGAGGGGGCATTGGCCCAAGCTTGTCAGCCAGTCGGGTGGGGTGGCTGGGATATGTTTATCTAAAATCCAGAGAGTACATACAGCACTGCTCATGCAGAAACAGGAAGGGAAGCAATAAGTTAAAAGCTACATAAGTTATGAAAAAATAATATATATTTCGTATATCTCATATCCCCACTGAGGATTTGCTCCCTTGGAAACCAATAAATAGCCCGAGAGAAAGCAGCAGCGAGCACCCTCTTTGGGGACTTCAGGGATGAGTACATATAGCTGAGTTCCTGCTGACCAGGCTTGGAAGACCATCAGCGCCCCCCACAGGCCTGGAGGACCTTGAGGCCTAGGAGGGGCTGAGGCCCTAAGGCACCCTGTCCTGGGAGATGAGAGGAGAGACAGGCTAGAAGAGGAGGTGAGGTGAGGGTGAGTAGAGGAGGGGAGGAGAGAAGGTGGCTTGTGAAGTGGGAAGCTGCAGCTGGCAGGGTCCCCTGCAAACCCTAAAGGTGAGGCCAAGAGAAAGAAACCGGGCTGCTCCTGCCCACCCCAGATGTTGTGGGCTGCACGTTTTTCTTTTTGGTGGAGCTTTTAAGACTGTCACTGGGGCACCCTAGCCTGACCTCAAGGACTCCGAGAGGCTCCCAGACCTGCCTGGATTGTACCTCCTTCATGGCCTGCTGGAGGCAGGCAGAGTGGGCATGGGGGGAAGAAGGGGCGGGGGGGGGGGGGAAATGAAAGAGCTAGAAGCCCACAGGTGTGTGGTGTCCTGGGTTCCTCAGCGAATGCAAAAGAGGGGAGGGCCAGTCCAGAGGGGAGTGGAGAGAACAGGGACCCTGAGAAGTGGGATTCCTGGGAAATGAGTCATGGCAGGGGTGGGGCTACGGGTCTCCAGGGCCTTTGCACCAGAGCCAGGGGTTGAGGTGGGAGAGAACTGGGCTGGGGGCAGAGAACTCAGATCCCAGACCCTGTGGGGAGCCCTGGAATGACAGGGAGGTGAAGAGAGGGTCTAGTTCTCCTGCCTCAGGTCAGACTGCCATCTGGCTTCTGCTCCCAGGGAGCTGGCCAAGGCCAGCAGAGCTTCTGGAGCTGGCTGGGGATGGGGGTGGGGGAGTTCTGCCTATGATCTCCTGGGAGGGACCAGAGAGAAAAGGTTCAGGCCTCTGACCCCCAGGGCCTCCTCCCTCCACTCCCTAATACTGTCAGGTGTCTGGGGAGCCCAAGTGCAGGAGAGCCAGGGGGTCCTCAGCATCCCACCTCCGCAGGGACTCCAGATACAGGATAGGGCCTGAGTGGCCCTCTCAGCTCAGCCCAGAGCCTGGGCTGGCGGTGAGGGCAGCAGCCTCTGTTCTGAGATGGCGGCAAGGCAAGGCAAGGCTGGAGAGAGGAGTTGGGGGCAAGCACTGGACAAGGGACTTGAAGCACCTGAGTCTGAGCCCTGCACTGCAGCGGGAGCCTCAGAAGAGCAAGGAGGAGGACACAAACTGACCCCAAGTTCCAGTTTACCCAGCCAGGAAAACCTGTGGCCAGAAGGTGGGAAGGGGGACTGTGAGACACTGGCAGGGCGTGGAGCTGGGGATGCTCCCCTCCACCCCGGCAACCCTCGAGAAGGCCGCCTCTGGCTGGAACCCTTCTCCTTTCCGTTCAGCATCCTGGTCTCATCTCCCCTTCCAACCTGGAGGCTCCAAGCTGCTTTCTTGAGTCCAGCTTAAGTCCCACCTGCTGCAGTGGGAGTGTCCTGAGACTCCTGGGGTCCAGCTGTCTTAATCTGAGGCCTCAGACTCCTGGGAGAGGTACTTCTCTGACATCTCAGTGATTTTGATCACAGGCCCTCTGCGGTTCTTCTTCTTCCGGAAGGAGCCCTTGGAGTGGAATGACTTGGAGGCAGCTATATGGGACACAAGGGGTGGGGGAGGGGAGGGGCTGGAGGTTTGGGAGCCACTTAAACAATGCCTTTAGGGTCATGATTCCCTGCACCCTGTGCCTCCCTACCATGGGTTCTTGGGGCAGGTGGACTCACCGACTCTAGGCCTGGACTGCACAGCACTGACCACGGTGGCTGAGGGCAAGTCCATTCTGTGTGGGAGGACATGGGGGTATGTGAAGGGAGATGTGGCTTTAGTTCTCTTGGGATTGGGGACCTGGGGACTGGTAAGTGGAGGGGATTCTTGGTTGTCACTTGCAGCCTTGGATTTGCCCTATGGTATGATCCTGGCCTGCCGGCTCTCTTTGCTTGTCCCCTCTTTCTTCTGTATACATGGCTAATCTTCCCGAGCACTTGTTGACAGGCATTTGCAGGCATCCTCACGTTAACCCTCCCTACTGCAGGTGACCCATGTTTACCATCAGCCCAGTTTTCAGATGAGAAAGTTGAGAATTTAATTAATTGGACTGAGATCCCAGTAACTAGCTCAAGCTGGTCTGGAACCCAGGCTTGCCAGGCTCAGTGTGTCCTGCTGGAGGGGAGGCTGGCTCTGCCTGGCCTGGGCCTCCCTCAGCCCTCCCTCTCTCCAGCCCTGTCCTCACCGGCTCTCCTCGCCCTCCACCAGCTTGCGGTAGGTGGCGATCTCAATGTCCAGGGCCAGCTTGGTGTTCATGAGCTCCTGGTACTCGCGCAGCTGCCGCGCCATGTCCTGCTTGGCCTGCTGCAGGGCAGCCTCCAGTTGGGCCAGCTTGGCCTTGGCGTCCTGAAAGGCCAGCTCCCCCTGCTCCTCGGCTGCCTTGATGTTCTCTTCCAGTTTCAGGCACTGCACACAGGACAGAGGGAGGGAGTTGGTGGGCATGGAGGGAGGGAGGGAGCTGGCCGGGGCCGGGAGTCACCTCTGTCCTCAGTGGCCTGCATGTCTGTGTGTGGGGCTAAGCAAGGTCATTTCTGGGTGTGGTAGCGCTTGCAATGCAACAAGAGGGTGTTCAGTGAGAGCTAAAAAGGCCCTCTTCTAGGGTCAGAAGAGCTGCCTACAGGGTGGCACTTGCTCTGATGGCTTATCCTGGTTAGAAGCTGGGACTTAGGCTTCCAATCCCTTCTCTCTGATTGGTTGGTGAGGGATCTAGAGGTGGGCCCTGGGTGTGCACTCAGGTTGCGCTCCTCTCCCATATAGCAGGCTGGGAAACCACAGAGGCACAGAGGCGACCTGCTCAGGGTCACTCAGTCAGGTCTTGCATGTACTGAGCGTGTGTGCGTGTGACTATGTGTCTCCTGCTTTCCTCCCTGCTCCCACCCGCAGGGGTCCTGCAGCTACTCACGTGACTCTTGACCGAGAGGATCTGGGACCGGAGCTTCTGGATGCGCACATTGAGATCAGCGATCTCGCAGCGGCTGCTCTGGAGGCTGTTCCCAAACTCTGCCGAGCGGGCGGCTTGCTCTTCCAGCTGGAAGGGGATAGAGGAAGTCACGTGAGGGGTCGTTCACTGTGGCCCTCCCAGCACCCCTCACCCTCATCCCCATCTCTCAGTCCTCCTCTGCAGCCCTACTTCATGCCTGACTCCCTCCTGCCCCACCATGTGCCTCTGGGTGGCCTCTGCTGGGCCACTCTTGGTGAACCCCAACAGCTGTCCCTGCCTCTGGCCTGGTGCTGCTGGGGGACAGCACCACCAATGACCTCCAGGAGGCCACAGACCATGGCCTTCCCTCCTAGCCACTCCTCAGGGCCTGGCAGGTACCCAGCTCCTGCTGTGAAACGCCCACCCACTGCCTGCCCCACATGTCCCCACTGCGCTGTCAGAGAACCTCAGGATCCGGAGCTGAAAATGATCTCAGCCGTCTCTAGAACGGCCCTTCCTAGGGTCCAGAGGGAGCCATCCCGCCCCACGTGGTCAGCCCCAAACCTGGCTGCGTGAGTACGCCTCGGCCTCCTCCAGGCTGCGGGCTGCGATGGCGTCATACTGGGCCTTCACCTCCTCCACGATGCCGCTCAGGTCGATGTGGCAGCGACTGTCCATGCCAACGGTCACTGACACATCCTTCACTTGGGCTGCCAGGTCCTTCATCTCCTGGCAGGGCACAGATGTGGAGGGCTCAGGGCTGGTGGGGAGGGCACGAGGCCCCTTAGCCACCCACAGTCCCTTCGTCCCCAGAGGCAATGGAGAGTGAGGCTGTTCCCTTCCAGTCTCCCTGGAGAGGTAATTGAAAAAGACCCTCTCCCCAGCTCACTGCCCTCGGCCCACCTATGTAAAATGCTCCTCTCTGAGCCGAGGAGAGGGCCAGGGAGGGGCTGGTGGGTCTAGAGGCCTTATTCCCTGTCTACCCACCATCTGCCCAATTGCTCTCTCCCTGGCTGGGACACCCTCCTCCTGGCTGATGGGGAAAAGGCCTGGGAAGCTGTGCTCCAGACTGGCAGCTGAGGTAGGTCCCTCTGCTTGCTGTTTTGTCACCATGCTCTGTGGCAAGCAGTTCTGCACACCCCTACCCCGGTCCTCACTGGGTGAGAAGCTCCCTGGGAACCGGGCAGAGCCAAGTTCACCTCTGGGACCCCACGTCTGGCAAGGGTTCTTGAACGCACGAGGGAATGGAGGATGGGGAGGGGCAGGGTGAGGCTAGAAGTGGGCCAGTCTGCCCTCGCCATCGCCTGACCTCTTTGAAAATGGGCCCAGCCTGTGAAAGGTGTTGCTGTGACTCTGGAGTCCCACCAGAGGCTCACTGCCCGCTCCCCCTCTGACTGAGGAAGCTGGCCCTAAAACATGACAATATTTTCATCTCCTTCCAGTCTCCAGAGCCCTCTGGAAATGCTGAGGGGCCAGCCCAGAACAAGGCTGAAAGTCACTGCAGACCCATGGTGCCCCTCGACTGCCCAGTCATTATACAACATGTCCTTTTTGTTGTTGTTTTTTTGAGATGGGGCCTCACTATGTTGCCCAGGGTACCTTGAACTCCTGGGCCTAAGTGATTCTCCTGCCTCAGTCTCCTGAGTAGCTGGGACTCCAGGTATAAACCATTGGGCCCAGCTATCCCCCAACACTTCTGACATGGAACCATCATGTTGGCAGGCATGGCTAAGGGCAGACTGGGAGATGTAGCTATGGGTTCCTTGGTAGAAGCATAGTGAAGGTCAGTGAGCAGGGGATCCTGGATAGAGCCCCAGCAGCACTTCCAGACCAGGACCAATTTGCCTTTTGATGTGGCCAGGTCACAGGACTGGGTTGGTGGTTCAGAGGTAGAGAGCTTGCCTAGCATGCGTGAGGCACTGGGTTCGATTCTCAGCACCACATAAAAATAAAATAAAGGTATGTGTCCACCCACAACTAAAAAATAAATGTTTAAATAAACAAACAAAAAACAGCCAGGCCACTTCCAAGAGATGCTTTAGGGGACTGCCTTGTCAGGGAGAAGGGATCTGCAAATCACAGCTGATAGAACAGCCTCAGAGCCTTTCTGGAAAGAGGCAGGCTTGGCAGGAATGTGGTAAACGGAAGTAGGAAATGGAGTCAGAATATCTGCAGACCTGTCCGGACATGCTGGTCCCTGCCAAGAGCAGAGGAAATAACAATGCTTGCCTGTGTGGTGTGAAGGTGCCACCTTGGGATGGGCTCCCAGCACCACAAAGTTGGCAAGAATTAGGCCAAGGTACAGGTTAGGGCCTGAGGAGACTACTATGTGTATGTGACCACCCTCAGAGGGTATCCCACTGCAGGCTAGATGGTGACACTCATGGGGTAACTTAGTGCTGATTAGCAAAATGTAGCACTTAAGCATACTGGACTCTAAATACTACCACCTTTTATTAATTAGGTAACCCTGGTCAAGTATTTAAACCTCTCTGAGTCTCAGTTTTTCTTGTCTGTGAAATGGGTATAATTATAGAACTGAAACCAGCTAACGTTTATTAAATGTTTGCCATCTGCAGCCACTGTTCTAAGTTCTTTAGGATCTATTAAAAAATAAATCCTTATGACAGCCTGGAGGGGTAGTGCTATTCTTCTTCCTACTTTAATAATGGAGACGTTGAGGCAGAGAGTGAGATTAAGACAATCTGGTCTGATTCACCTGCCATGTTTACTCTGCCAGGATTCAAGTCCAAGCCGCTCTAAAATCCGTACTTACTTAATCATTAGCCCTCATTCAGACATGCTGGAAAGGATTAACTGAGATTAAGTTGGGAAAGCTCAGAACACAATACCTGGGCTGTAGTAGGTGCTCAATAAATAGCAGCTACAGAGTCTATTGCTGTAACTGGTAAAGGTGACGGAGCTGAACGACAGGTCCAGGGGCAAAGCAGCCTATGCCTGGAGTGGCCACCCTGCCCATGCCATTTAGACAGTACTGTTCCTTCTGCAGGGATCTACCTGCTGGGAGGGGAGCCTGGCTGCAGGAGGTTGTCCACAGATTCCACAGTTAATCTCTCTGGAACCATAGCTCATGGGTGGGGCAGGCAGTGATCATGCTGGATGGATCCAAGTCCCCAGTGCACAAGGGAGCTGGAATGTTCTGCCAGAGCTGAGCAGAATGTGGACTTCTGCCAGCCCAGGGTCCTCTCACCCTGCCAGCTCTTATCCTTGGAGGGGAGGGGCAGAAGGGTGCAGAGAAGGCTGCGGTGTGCAGATGAGGCCTTGAGCAGATCATGTCATGGGGTCCTGCCCTGGGCTGGGAAGGGTTTTGCAGGTGTCCCTGTGTTGGGGGAGGGGAAGGCTGCTTTCTGGGGTATGGGATGGGCCTGGACAGCAATGCTTTTCTGATCTGATATAAACTAGAGTGGCCGGCCTTCTGGGGATACTCGGGTGCTGCCATGTTTCTCTGTAGCTGGCACGTGCCTGTGCTTAGACTTGCTCCGTCCAGCCTGTCATAGGTGGTGCTGAGCATTGGAATGTGGCTAGTATAAACTGAGATAGACTATAATTGTAAAAAATGCACCAGATGTTGAATATTTAGTATGAGACAAAGGATATAAGATAGCCCACTATTTTTTATATTGATTACAGATTGAAATAATCATACTTTGGCTATATTGGGTTGAAATACTATTAAAAATTTTTTGTTTCTTTTTTTTAAAAAATGTGGCTACTAGAAAACTTAGATATGGATCCTATTCTAGTTCTGTTAGTGCTGTCTAGAGACCCACTGGGGTGGGGGATCTTTTTGGCAAATGGTTGGTGTTTTTCTCCTCACACTCAAGTGGAAAAGGGAAGGAAACACAGAACTTGTACCCCAAAGTCAACTTGCTACTTTGCTGCTTCCCAAAGTGACAATAACTGCTATACAGTTGCCCCTCTCTATCCACGGGTTCCACATCTAAGGATTCGACCAACCACGGATGGAAAAATTGAACAGGTACAGACTTTTTTTCCTGGCCATTATTCTCTAAAACAATATAGCGGAGCAATTACTATTGACACAGCATTGACATGGCATTAGGTATCCTAAGCAATCCAGGAGTGGAAGGCTACGGAAGGATGTGTTGGTTATGTGCAGATGTTATGCCGTGTTATATGAAGAACGGAGTGTCCAGGGGCTGGGGATGTGCCTGGATCCTGGAACCAATTCCCTGAGGACACTGAGGGGCAGCTGTGATTCATGGTCACCTTCACTGCAGTCCCTGCTCCACAGCAGTCTTCTCACAGTACAAACGGCACCCAACCCCCTGCACTGCCCCACCCCAGTGCCCATCACACTCAGATAAAGTCAAACTCTGTCTCAGAGTCCAAGGCCCTGGATGAGGCCACCTGCTGGTTCTCCCTGACTCCTGGCTCCCACTCTGCCCTTCTGCTGTGACCACAGTGACTTCCTTCTCTCCCTTTAGTCACGAGCTCACTCCTGCCTTAGAGACTTCGCACAGCTCTTCCACTGGTGTGGACCTTCCTGCCATTGGGTCTTGGCTTGATTGTACCTCCTCAGAGAGGGCCCCTGGCCACGGCTCTGAAGGTCCTCTTCCCCAGCACTGTTGGGTCACCAGCTTCTTGGCAACCTGCCCTTAATGCCCTCCTGAGTGATCTCCCTCAGGGGCTTGTTCTTTTGCATGTCACCTGTCTCCTCTGACCTAGGTGGAGCCCTCCTGGTGAGGAGGGACCTCCCTGTCTTGCTCAGGCTGTGGGGGTAATGCTGGCGCCCAGTCGGCATGCCACAAATGCTTGTCTAATGGACAAGTGGGCTTAGCCTGCAGCACAACTCCACTACTGCTCTGTTACTCTTCCATTTTGCAGATGAGGATCCTGAGGCACAGAGAGGAGAAACAGGACGCTCACAGTTACAGAAGTGGTAAGCAAGGCTGAGTCAGGATCAGGGCCTTGCTTAGGGCTTGAACATGGAGCTTGCTAAGAGCAGGGGTGAGCAAAAATTTGGAAATGCTGGCTGATGCCTGCCAGGCCTGCACCAGCCGACAGAGTTTGGGCAGAGGGGCTCTCAGCCAACTTCTCAAGCCAGCTGGTGGGAGCCCTGCTCAGTCCCACAGGGCTTGCTGTGGCTAGGCAGGGCTCCGCTGGATAGGACACTTGCAGAGCTGCTGGTATGGGTGGGCCTGCAAGGGCTACCTTCCTGCTGCTCCCAATGGAGATGGTTCTCTCTGCTGTGCCATGTGCCATGGGAACAAACAGGTCTCAGTCCCACAGAGGCCCCAGGGGGCATGGAGCCTGCTGGAAAGGAACCGGGCCCATGTACAGATACAAGGTCTCACTTCCCTGTCCACAGGATAAGGCCATGAAGCTGTGGCCAGCAGCCCATGGGGTCCACAGCAGAACATTCTGATTGTGGTGGTGACCTTGATCTCTGCTCTGATCTTAAATTCGGTGCCACAGCTTGCATCAGCAATGTGTGGCACCCAGGCTGCAGAGCCCTGTCAACCCCAGCAGTAATTCTGCCCACTCTTAGCTCAACCAAAGACACTCGTGGAAGGGCCTGTTTGGTGCAGAAGTGTCACCTCTATAACCCAGACCCCTGAAAGAGGGGAGCTGGAGAAGAGGCACCCTGCAGGCTCCGTGCAGAGGAGGGGCAGCATTGGGGAGCTGGCAGCAGGGCCATCTGATGACTGGACTGGCAGCACCAGGGGCCTTGCTGGACCACTGTCCACTCAGGCTTAGCTGAGGACTCAGGAGACAAATGAGAATGTATTCTAGAGGCTCCTTTGTCTGCACTGGTTGGATCATCTTTGTTCTGGCAGAAGCCAACTGTGAGTCCTCCCTGTTTAGCCCCAAAGGGGGAAGGATGAAATGCAAACCCAACAAAGCTAGAACTGGGGGTCCTTGTGGTTTAGGCTGCAGGGATTAAAGAGAGAGCAGTCCAAGCGGAAATGTTATTTGAGGGCCCTGGATTGAGGCCAGCCTCCTGATCTTTGCCCGAAGCATCCTGTCCCCATACCTTTGACACTCCGGCACACATGGAAATAAGGTTCTCCCTGAGAGAGGGGCTTTGGGGCACCCACCCATGTTCCATGAAATGAGTGGCAAGGGGACATGTAGGACAATTGACATCAGGACATGAAGGGGCATGGGACATTGTTATGTCTGTGGTTGGACCTCACGGCTCTTGGAGGCTCCCTACCTCTGGATGTCCTCCCATTCCCTGCACCCCTTGCCCGCGGCACTCAGCTCTTAGCTCGGCAGGATGTGGGCCCCTTCTCACTCACCTGTTCATAGATGGTTCTCATCAGCTCCACGAAGCTCTGTAGGCCTTTTAACTTGGTTTCCAGTTCAGTCCGTCGAAGACACTCAGTGTCCAGGTCCTGGGGTTGGGAGCAGCGGTGAGAGATGGAGAGGTGCTTGGGTTCCAGGCAGGACTGGGTCGGGGAACTTAGCTTCCTGGGTGAGAGTGTGGGGGGGTGATTCCCAGAGGAGATCTGGCTCAGAGCTTGGGTCAAGGGGCCAGGTGGGGACTAGAGTATCTCTCTGTCTGTCCCTGGGTCCTGGGACTTAAGCCCTGGAGGGCTCTGGGCACAGAGGTGATTCTGAGGGAAAGAGGGTGGGGGCCCTTGAGGAAGGAGCCCTGGGGCGGGCTGGGCAGGCTACCTTCTTCAGCTGGACAAAGGTGAACTCCAGGTCTGTACGCTTGGAGATCTCGTCCTCATACCTGCGAGGGGGTGGTGGGGAGGGAGGAACTGCTTAACTGAATGTGGCGAGAGCTTGGGGTTGGTTAATTCCCTTTGGATGGGGCTCAGGGCCTCACCCTACTCAGTGCCTGTGCCAATTAGAAAAGCAGCCCATCCTCTGGGTGTCTTCTGTGACATGTCCCCACCTTCCTGGGACTACTCAGTTTTTTCCCACTAGCTCCTGTCCCTTCCTGGTTCTGCTGCATGATCACCTCCTCCAGGAAGCCTCTCCTGACTGTAGCCCTTTCTCCTGCCCTGAGAATCTCAGGTTCAGACAAGCTGTGCTTCAGGTGGAGTCGTCCCCAGGCTCCTGCTCACAGCTCCCTCTCTCCCACCTCTGCTCCCTCCCTGCAGCCCCACCCTTCTTCCCTCTGTGGGAATGCCATCATGTTCCCTCCAAAGGGAGGATGGGGAGAGGGTATTTTTGGACAAGGAACTCCCCCACCCCCACTTGGCAGCTTCCTCGTCTAGGGGTGTCTGTGCAGTGGCTGACAGCACCAGAGCTCTCTTCTCTGTCAAGGCCACCTGATGTTGGCAACAAGAATCACATTGCAAATGAGTGTGGTGGCACATGCCTATAATCCCATCAGTTTTGGAGGCTGAGGCAGGAGGATCACAAGTTCAAAGCCAGCTTCAGCAAAAGCAAGGCACTAAGCAACTCACTGAGACCCTGGGGATGTGGCTCAGGGTCGAGTGCCCCTGAATTCAATCCCCAGTAACCCCCACCCCCCAAAAAATCCTGTTGCTCCAGGGGACAGGATTCTTCCATCCCTGACCTCCTGACCTGACCCCCTTCCTCCAGTCAAGATGTTTGTCTTGGCCATCTGGGTTGGTAGTATCTGCTGACATCAGACTTCTTACCCCAGCCCCTCATGGCCCTAGCATACACAGGATTATGCTGCTTCTTCCATCTTCCCTCCCCTCTAGGGAAAGCCTGAATCAGGGGCATCTCTCAGTTCAGCCACCTGCCACCTGCCCCAGTCCCTGACCTCATAGCCAGGAGGGTGTTGTCCATGGCCTGTGACTGCTGACTGGACCTGCCACACCGCCATGCCTTCCTGTTCACCAGCCACCCGGGAGCTGAGGAGAGTGGACCTCAGGGTGGTGAGGACCCACAGGGCACTTAGGTCTCTGGATCTCAGGGTGCTGGGTGCACAGGCTGTCCCTGGCCATGCCTTAGCTTCCAAGAATCTGTGAGAAGCTGTAGGATGCAGGTCACAGGGGCTGGGCAGAGAGGTGGGCCAGGATAACAAAGGTCCACAAGCACCCTGACGAGAGACAGGTGTGACTGGTGCCGCGGACCACCTCCTTCCTGTGCTGGGTGCCCGCTACAGCCTCCCCTATGACCCTCAGAGCCCCAGCTTGGGAGGTCCTATGGGTCATTTTTTTTTTTTTTTTGGTGCTAGGGAATGAACCCAGGCCCTGTGCATGCAGGGCAAGCACTCTACCAACTGAGCTACATCCCCAGCCCCCTATGGGTCCCATTTGACAGATGAAGAAACAGGCTCAGAGAAGGGCTGGGTGTGCTGGCTAAGCAGGGGCTCAAGTCCTGGCTTCCCTGATGACTTGCTGTGTGGCCTTGGGTAGGCTACTGTGTGTGCCTTAGTCATGATAATGGAGATGTTGTGAAGACCCAAAAGGTTAGGACACAGTGTTCCCAGCCGAGCCTGGCACTCAGGAAACTCCAAGGCTTGGACCCTCTGCCTTGGTCTCTCCCATCCTCAGAAGCCTCTAGAAGCCTCACTGTGGAGCCAGAGTGGCTCTGCAGACCTCTGGCAGATCATCAGGGATGGGCTAACTTGAATGGGCTTCCCCCCTGAAATAAGGGGGAGTTCGAGGACCTCTAAAGCCTGGGGGTGCTGAGCCCTCCCCCATCCTTTCTGAGTAGCAAAGTCCTGCCTGCCTAGGGGCAGGATATGGGGGACAGCAGTCTTGGGGGGCCCAGGTCTCTCACCCCTCTCTGCCCTTTCTGCCCTCTGTACAGCTTTCCTTCCTCCCCACCAGAGGTCCCCATCATCCACCCTCTGACCTTTACCTGTCCCATGAAGTAATTCCTATTGCTTGGAGCCTGCTGACTTATTTGTTAACTATGTCCCTTGAAAAACCTTAGGAGGGGACCTTAGGCCTTGGACTGGGAGCACTGGGTCCCATCCACCTCCCACCCCCTTGAAGATGTCCTTGCTGGAGGAGTGGGGAGGTAATGGGTATTTCCAGGCCATTCCTTGCAGATCTGCCAATAGAGGCCACCAAGGACCCTGGAGAACATATATAGGGGAATGTAGTGACTATCTTGGCAGAGAAGGACACAGGAAGTATGGGAACCCGAGGAGACTCCTCATGGCCTGTTGCCCAGGCTGGGCTTGCCCTGGCCCTCCATGGCCTGGCCAGGGGAGGCTCCTGGCACAGCAGGTGCACTGGGCTGAGGCCAGACACTGGGTTCCTGTCTGAGGCTAGTTCCTAGTCCCCCTGAGGCTACCGCTGGGTCATCCCCAGTCTTTATGTGAATTAGAAAGAGCCCCTTCCTCAGGGGGTGTGTGACCCACCTCAGCTCTCACGGCCTGATGCTCAACTGATCTCAGCCCCTCAATGGCCTGCTCTTGTCATCAACCAGCTTGCACAACTGTAGGCGGTGTCCCTGAGTCACTTACTGTGTGGGCTTGGGCAAGTCGCTTCCCCTTGCTGGGCCTTGGCTTTGTCCTTAGCAAATAGAAAAGTTAGATGAGCCAATCCTTGGGGTCTCTGCTACCTCCAGGCCCTTGAAAGTCTCTCTCCCCACAGAGGCTTAGGTGATACCTTATCCCCAATTTCACCCTATTTCTCTACCAGTCTGCCAGCTACCAAACCCGTTCTCAGGCTTGTCACACCTGCACCCCTCTCCCCGGTAACTTGTTTATTTCTGGGAGCAAGGCTGATCTCATCGCCTGGAGAGGCTGGGCACAGCCCCTCCCTGCTAGGGCTCCACCTGGCGTCGCCTGCCTCCTGGAGGCCCCAGGCTCTGCACAGCTAGGCTGAAGCTCCCTGGCTCTGGCCTGCAGACCCAGGAACCATGCCATCAGACCCAGTTTTCTCCTCTGCCTACTGAAGTGGGTTCCCTGTCCAGAGAGGGAACAAGAAGAAGCCCTGAGCCTAAACTGTAAGTCAGACAGCAGGCGGATGGAAACAAGGCAGCGGGCCAGGCAGGGGCTAAGCCAGATGAAAACAACGGGTGGTGTTGGTACAGGACTCCCAGCTCCACCGTGCTCCCACAGACACCATCTGGCTGGGCTGCTGGGAGAGCCTTGTGCGTGGCAAGCAGAGTTGTAGGCTTAGCATGTGCGGCCACGTGCCTGAGGACAAACCCTGACCTCTCTGGGCCTCTGTTTGCTTCCTTATAAAAGGAGGACCCAACACCCCCATCCAGCTCTGCCGTTCTCTGATCCTTTGAAGGTCAGAGACCTACTAGGGACCAGTGAAATGGGTGGTGGATTCTGGAAACTGCCATGGCTCCATGACCAGATGTTGGGCAGTTGGACAGTTCAGAATGGGCCATCAGATGCCTGGGAGGGTAAAGCTCCAGGGGCTGTGGGCAAGCTGGACCACAGCCCGGATTCCTGGCTTCCTGGACAGGCTGCTCCAGAGGATGCAGGCCTGGCCACCAATTGACAGGACTTAGGGCTGGACTGCACTGGAGGGAGGGAGATGGGGGTCCAGCCAGACTCCATCCTTCCCTCACCTTGACTGGGGGGACCTCAGAAAGAGATAAGACCCAAGTTTAGGGGTACAGGAACATAGCCTCTTGCTCTGCCTCAGCCTCCTTGTTCCTAAAGCCCTGCCCTTGATCTGGTCAGAGTGGGTCACCTGTCCACTAAGTCACCCAAGTGCCGATTCTGTCCTCCTAGACCACAGGCAGAAACTGGCTCTAGGCCAATTCAGTTCAGCAAACCCATGTCAAGCTCTGAGCTGGGGACTTCAGACTTCAAGGGCATGGAAAGCTGCCCTCATTATTTCCACACACTACCCTGACCTCTTGTCCGCCTCTGCCCGGCCTCAGGTTGGAATCAGCCACCATCATTCCCATTTCACAGAGGAGGAAACTGAGGTGTTCAGGCATTAAGCCACTTGCTCAAGGTCACACAGCTCATGAGGGTGGGGGAGGGGATTAATGGCCCACAGGGTCTAAAGGCCAGGACTGGGCCACAACCATTGGGAAGTACCGCCCACCCACTGTGGGTTGGCCTGTCTGTCTGTCTCACTAGGTTGCCAAAACATCTTGCAGGTGGGAACTGTGTTTTCTTTACTTCCCCCATTCTGGGGCCACCTTGATGCCTGGCAAGAGTGACCTGTAGGGGATTGCATTTTAATTAAAATAAAACCCACCTTTCTGTTTCCTGCCTGTGCCTGGCTGCTCCCCCTCATTTTTTTTTTCCATCCTACTGAGATCAAAATCCAAAGCCACACCCAAGCAGAAAGTCAGCTGTCCTTCTCCTGGTGATGTCATGTCCCGCCTCGGTTTGGTGTGGGGGCCCAGGCAAGCGAGTTTGCAAGGCGCACGTGGGGGCTGCTCAGGCCAGGGCTGTGGGTGGTGGTAGTACCCAGGGACCAGAAAGCACAGGGTCCAGCTGTGATCCAGTGCAAGAATGGCCTTGCTGTAAGGCTCATGCAGGGTCACTGCTGCATCCCTAGTATTTATAATGGCACCTGGCACGCCTGAGGCCCTCCATCAGTATGAATGTCTCCTAACTTTCTTTCCCCTTTCTCTGGCTTGGGACCATCCCACTTGAGTAGGGCTTGGTCCCCACCCTCAGTCCCTGCCCATGGCTTCCCTAGGGTGCGCCGGGACCTACCTGATGCGAAACTCCTCCACCTTCTCCAGCACCTGCAGCAGGTTGGCCTCTAGCTGTCCCCGCTCCTGGCTCACTTTGCGCAGCTCCTCCTGCAGCCGCCCCTGGTACGCCTCGTAGTGGTGCCCCAGGTCAAAGGTGCCCGAGTCCTGGCCCTGCAGGAAGCTCCAGCGGGTCTCCAGCAGCTGGTTGCGCTGTTCCAGAGCTTGTACCTGGGAGGACAGGAGAGAGAAGAGCGGGCTAGGGCGGGGCGCATCTGGGGTGCCCATGGGCCCCAGGGGGGCTTCTCGAGGAGGAAGTGGTGGTTCATCTGCCGCAGGCATCCACTCGGGCTGCTGGAGCATTCAGAGCGGCACCTCCAGTGACTGATTGTTCCAGCTACAGATGCTGAGATAAGAGAGAATCGAGGTGGAGCCAATTAGCAGAGGCTTCCTAGGGCAGGGCCGCTTAGATGAGGGAGGGGGAGCGAGTGCCCGAGAGGGACCTCCTGGGCTGGCTTCTGCCTCCAGTTCCAGCCTGGTTGGTCTTGAGGATGAAGACCCCAAGGACTCCTACAGGGGCTCCTGTGCCCCATGACCCATAGCCGGGCCACCAGCAGGCTGTCAGAGTCCCTCCCCCGGCCCAGCCCAGCCTGGTCTGGGGCTTCCTCTGACCTCTTCTTTGCCCTGCTGCCCTCTCTGGGCTCAGCCGGTCTTGGCATTCTCCTGCCCACAGCCCCAGCCCTGCCTGCGCCCCTCCTCCCCGTGGGTGCTCCCGGCAGTCCACCTGCAGGAAGCCCCCTACCTCCAGCAGGACCTCAGTTTATCTGCTTCTCCTCTGTCCTGGTCACCTGTCAGCCTGGGATCGTCCCAGGACCTGGGTAGGCCACTGTGGTGGGAGGGATGCTCCTGGATGGTGGGCTGTGTTTTGTCATGAGGACACGGTGACTGGTGGGACAGTGACGCTCTGTATGAACACAGGCAAGCAGCTGGGTCCCTCCCACCCCTGCTGGAGCGGCTGGCCTGGCAGGGCGATCTGCCAGCAGCCTTTCGGCTCAGCTGATCTGTATTCTTACTTTACAGGGGGTGACTTGTCCCGGTCACAGAGTGACTGAGGGCCAACCTTTCCCGACAGGCCCCACTACTGGCTGCTGCCCACCTGGACCTTTGGGGGCTCCCTTTGCCTCCTCTCTGGTCACCCTGTGTACATCCCCAGGTTTCCTGTTTCTCCCTGAGAGGCCTGGATGACCTTGGCAAGCTTGGATGACCTTGGCAAGCCCCCTTTGAACTTCACAGCAGGTAATAGCTGCAGGAGGACTGAGAGATGGCATTTGAGAGCTGCCTAGCTCCCATCTGTACTGGTAGGTTCTGCTCAAGCCGACTGCACGCTGTAGCTATAGCTAAACAGGTTCAGTAGGGATGGAGGTCAAGAGGGTTCTGCCCTGCTTTGTGTGTGTGAGAGGACGCGCTGGGGGGGAGGTATCTGCTCACCCCACCTTCCCTCCGTTTTGACAAGCAAGAGTACCATGTTGACACTGAGGGTGGGGTGGGAAGAGAGATGTGAGGTTCCTTCCTCCACCCACGAACAATAGAAAACCTTCACACCAGGAAGTTCTTCCCTTAGTCTAACCCCAGTGCTCTGTGCTTCACCTCTGGTCTGCTGAGAGAGAGAGTGTGGCTGGCCAGTCCAGCCTGAGGGCACTTGTGGTTTTAGGGGATTAGGGGTAGCCTTCTGTCTCCCACTGCCCTTGGGAGAGTCTCTTGTTGTTTCAGTGGGTGGGGCTGGAATCTCACCTCCCACCCAGAACCCTCTCTACAGAAAGGCTCCTCCCTTTAGGAACAAAGGCCTCCAGAGAGCCCTAAGAGGTGCCAGTCTTTCCACGCCCTGCGCTCTCATCCTCCTCTCTGCTCTGGCTGAGCCCCCGCCTTTAGATCACATAGGAGCTTGGAGAGCCAATGTCTGTCCCATCTGCCTCCCCATTTTTTAAAAAAATATTTTCAATGGTAGATGGACACAATACCTTTATTTTATTTATTTATATGTGGTGCCGACACTTGAACCCAGGGCCTCACACATGCTAGGCGAGCGCTCACCACTGAGCCACAGCTCAGCCCCCTGCCGCCCCATTTGGTGGACAAGGAAACCCAGGGCACAGGCTGTGGGGAGAGATGTTCTCTAGGGGGAACTGAGCAGCCTAAGCTGGAGCTCCTGCTGGTGCTGGGGACTGCCGTGGGGGAGGACCACCTAGGGGGCTTCTGGTCCCCAAGCCCATGGGGCAGCGCCCCTGGGGGAGGCAGGTCCTACTCCTCTGGGGAGGGCATCAAGTTCCCTGCCTTCAGCCAAGGAGCCCCGGAGTGCTGGTCTCTGTTCTGCATTCAGACGGGGGATGACTCCAGGGACTTCCTGTGGTCACCTAGGCCAGGGGAAGATATGGTCCCCTTTCCACTGGGTCCAGGCATTTCACCACTGCTCTCCGTGGCCTCCTTCCCCCAGCCTCAGACAGTCCTTCTCTTGTCTACTCTGCCTCTCTTGCGCATGTGTAGAGCTATGAGGCCCAGCAGCAGCCCCTGCTGGGTGTGGACGCTGCCCTCTCTCCCTCACTCCTCTTGTTGCTAACTCTCAGCTCCTCATCTCGTGATGGGACTTGCTAGTCCCTCCACTGGCAGGAGCTCAGGGCTACCTGGAGAGCAGAACAGTATTGAGCCATGGAATACAAAGCACAGAGAGGGTAAGTGGCTTACCCAAGGAAACACAGCTAACAAAGGGAAGAAACAACACTGCTTCGGGGCTTCTCTGCCAACACCTGGAAGTCTACCTGACCCCCTACTCCTGCAGCACTCTGGTCTCTCTCCTTGCCTCAGGGACTGAGGGACTGGAAGGGGTGTGGAGTGGGTGTCCCTTTCCCATCTCTTGGCTCGGAGCCCTCACCCTTTCACTGATCACAGCATCTCAGGAGGGGCCCTTCCTCCTCTGTTCTCCAGGGAGTGAGTTCTAGGAGCTCTCTGGGCTAGGCCCATTTTATTTGATTTTTAGAATTCAACAGTTATAAAGCACTTGCCATGTGTCAAGTGTGTTCTAACTGCTTCTCGAAAATTATCCCATTTGGTGGACAAGCCCATTCCACTGAAGTGCATTGAGGCACAGAGAGGTTAAGTAACGTGGGGTGGGGCCAGGATTTACACCTACTATGGTGCTCCACATTTCCCTCTCTCAATCACTGCTGCATCTGCGGGAGCCCTCCCAGCCATTACTAGGGCTCCCTAGGGCAGAGTCCCAGCAACCAGGGACCCCAAACCTGGCACCTCTATCTCCCTTCATCCTGCAGGAAGGACACCCCATCTCCTAACCCTTGAGGGTTGGGAGGCTCTGTTTCTGCTAAAGATCTCCGAGGGCATTGCCCTGGCCCTAAGGGCCCCTCCTGATGCCTACACTCATTTGCTCTCACCCTGTCCCCATGCAGAGGCACAGGGTGACCTCAGCACTGGCACTGGAGGGAGAAAAGACTTTTGAGGGAGAAAAGCCACCCAACAGAGCCAAATTACATAGTCAGCTAAGCATTCCTTTTAAGGGATTAACAGAGACCTGCCTCCTCCCCAGGGCAGAGGCTCTCTGAGGAAAGTCAGCCAGCAGCAGGGGCTCTGTGTACCCAGGGGTGTGGGAAGGGAGGTTTTGCCTTGGTGGATGGCTCTTTCCCCTCCACTGACCCCGCTCTGGGCATCCAGATGTGGACCAAAAACCTCTGCTATAGGAACATGAATGGAGGAAGACAGGATTCCCATCTCAGAGACCCCTGGTTCTGTCTCATCAACCTGCATTCAAATCTAAACCGCACCACTTGCTGGTTGCTTGACCTTGGGTCAGGTACTTGACCTTCCCTTAATTTCCTCATCTATCAGTTGGGGAAATAACAGCCACTGCTGTGTGGGTTCAATGTCGCTGCATTGCCAAGTACCCACTGAGGGCCTCGCACTAGCAGATGTTCCATGCATGCTACTGTTTTCCCTGCGCCCCTCTCTGCAAGCTCCCATCTCATGGAGACAACTGGCCTGTGCAGAGGAACACAGAGTCAGAACCACGATGAGGGAAAGGTCTGAGCTGAAGCAAAAGGCTGTTTTTTTTTTTTTTTTTTTTCTGGGAGGATCAGGGAGATAGTTTTCCTCATCTGTGAAATGGGCATAATATGATCTTCTTTTAGAGGGTTGTTGGGGGAAATAGAGATGCATATGTAAAGCACCCAGCACAATGCCCAGCGCATAGGGCATCAGTGCAGCTGTGGATATTGTGATGGTTATTCTTGGGCAGTGCAGGAGAGAACAGAGTTGGGAGGACTGGTCAGAAGTTTCTTGGAGATGAGTAATAGCAGATTTGGGAGGTAAACAAGACTTCCTGAGGAACTCCTTTGCTCTGGGGGCAGAGATGGGTATGAGGACCTAAACCAGCTATGGACGGTGGGGTCTAGGAAATGGGGAGAGTGGTATGGGGGACTGGCCCCTTCTACCCAGTTGGCTGCCTGCTGGCTGCCTACTTCTGACCCGAGGCATCCGTTCCTGCATTCCTATCTCCTGACTACCCAAGCTGCATCTCCCCTCCCGCGTGGCCCCAGCAGCAGCCTCCTTCCGACAGAACCACACACCCCTGCCATCTCTTCTGATTGGGGAAGCTAAGCAGAGTTGCGTTGAGAGAGATGCCGCAGGCCCAGAAGCTTGAGGGATGGACAAGAGTAGGACCTTCGGAGGTCATTTCCACGGTCCACTTGCCTGGAGGACTGCAGACCACGCCTCCACGAGCCTCCCAGGGAAGAGGCATTCCCTTGGTCAAGCTCAGGGCTTCTCTCTAGTTTGCTACGGGGGAAGGATGACCCCAGGCCACGAGCATGTTCTTATCTAGACATCGTCAGAGGCCATCCTGAAGTCCCTTTGCCCCCTGACTCCGGGATGGACCAGGACCTCCCTCCCTTTGTCCCTGCTCAGAGTTAGCGCGCCGCGTTAGCAATGCTGCCTCCCCATTGGCTGGGGGCAGGGGCGGGGCATGATGTCCAACTCGGGGGGAAATAGAACTCCGCCTCCTGCCCAGGCCTGGCGGTCCTTGGCTTTTGGTACCCCCTCCTACTTCTGCTCACCTTGCCAATCAGGGAGGCAAATTTGTCATTGAGGACCTTCATCTCCTCCTTCTCCTGGTTCTTCTGCTGCTGGATGGCTGGGTCCACTTTGAGGTCCAGGGGCACCAGCAGGCTGGGGTTCACGGTCACCTTCGGGATGGTGCCAGCTGGCCAGCAGCCTGTGAGGCTTCGGGAGCTGAAGCCTGGCACAGGGGGCCCGCAGCTGCCCCATCCTGACGTTCCAGGCCGGGGGCTGCCCGCTGGGGTCACCTCACAGCCGCTGAGGCTGCTGAAACCAACCACGCAGGACTGGCAGGCCATGGTGGCCCCCCGGCCTGGGAGCGGGAGGGCCCAGGGATGAGCGAGTGAGCCTCGGGGTGGAGGAGGGTGGCAGGCGGCTGCCTCCTGTCGCAGCCAGGGCAGGCTGGGGACTGAGGTGCAAACACCTGTCGCACAGTGCTCATTACCTGCGGGAGGGCGGGACGCCTTCAGCCCGACCAACCTGTTAGATGACGTGTTGCTCTTGCTCCTCCCCCGCCACCACCACGCGCTCTCTCCCCAGCCCGGGATCTGCCTGGCTGAGAGGGCTGGTCCCGGCCAAGGGAGCAGGACCTGGCCTGGGGAGGGGGGCAGGCTGGCTGGCTGGGTTGAGATTGGGGAAGCAGCATGAAGAAGGTTTAATAGGAAGGGGGGAGGAGAGAGAGAGAGAGAGAGAGAGAGAGAGAGAGAGAGAGAGAGAGAGAGAGAGAGAGAGACTGTCACCACCGAGCTCATGCATACCTGAGGGCTGACGTAACTGGGCTCACATACTTCTGGAAAAGATGAGGCAAGCGCTGCCAGAGCTCCCTAGTGTAGGGCAGCTGTCCTGGGCACCATGCCAGCCTGGCATCAGAAAACAGCACCTTTATTATTTATATTATTTTTTCTAGCTGCCAAAGAGCCTCCCTGGTTTATCTTTCTCCCTTCCTTCCTGTCTTCGCTCATTACTGAGGACCTGCTAAGTGCACCCCTCTGTCTCAGGGCTGGAGGAAGAGATAGTCAAGGCCAGAGTCCTTGGCTTTGGGAAAGTTCGATTGGGTTCAAGACATCTTGGCTGCTCACTTCTCTTGCGACCTTGGGCTGGTTACTTGATTTTGTCCTCATTTGTAAATTGTGGATGAAAAGCCAGGTTGTGGGAAGGTCATCCTAGGCAGAGCCCTGGGTGGCTGCAGTACAGGGTGCTCATAGCCGAGACAGCCCGCTTCGGGGCCCAGGGCTGTGAGAACACTTCTCTGCCGCCTTGGTCTCCAGTTTCCCATTCCTTCTTCCTCACTTCTCCGGCTCCTTTGGCCTCTTTCATATTCAACAGGAAGGAGAATGAGAAGAAAACATTTGACCCCATGGAGTCTCCGTGGGACAGTAGAAGGTTCACCAGCTGGTGCTTTTCCTGCCTTCCCCATGTATCCACTTCCAAGGCATCGCCCGCTCTCTGGTCTAGCCTCTTCCTTCCTGGCCTGATGGCCTGGTGACCTGGTAGCTTGGTAGCTGTTTCTGTGTGTCCTCCCTGGACCTGACATACCACCCTTAAGCAGAGAGAGGCATGTCTCCTGGAGATGGTCAGAGATGGAGGGGTCTGTGCCCCCACTGGGACCATCAGAAGTCCTGAGGGGTTCTTGCTTGCCAAATTGCATTGCCACCCTGGGCCTCTGCCCCCCATCCAGACCTCTTTCCCACATGTGGCTCAATAGGACACATAACCTCGGACTCTGCACCAAGTCTCTGATTCATCCGGATCCTGGATCCCAGGTTCTGCTGCTGGGTGGGTTGGTGAGGGACTTCTGGGTGACTGGGTATCTGCCACAGTATCTGTCTCCACTTCTGCCACCTGCTGCCCTACCCCACTCAACAGCCACTTGCAGGGCCATCCCAGCTTCCCACCATCTTTACCCTGGCCTGGTATCCAAATGGCATGTGGTCAGACATAGCACCTTGTTCTTCCCTCCCCTGCTCACCCCTGCATGCTCCGTGGGGGGAAGGAGGGGGCAGGTAAAGGCATCTGGGCTCTGCCAAGGCCACAATAGCTGTGGATGTGTCAGGAATGTCCCAAATATTCCTTTGGTCCTCACTACAACCACCACTTGAGGTAGATGCTTGAATTCATCACCCCTCCCTGCCACCATTTTCTAAGGAGAAGCTGGGTGGGGTTAGGTGCCTGGTTCCAGGGCACACATTTTGTCAGTGATGGGTTTGGATGCAGAGATGTCTGGATTAGGGGCTCTTTCCCTTACCTTAGCTTCTAAGTTCTGGGACCCCAGAAAAGGCAGGGGATAGAGAAGAGAGTTGGCTTGTTCTCAGCATCTAGCCTGAGTCAGGGTAGTCCCCTGCCTAATTCTCCTTCAGCTGGATGCCTAGCTCTCGGAAGTGTCTCTGTGCAGCTTAAATCTCCTATTTCTTTCTGACTTCCATTGGCCTCAGTCAGCTCCCGAGCATTGAGAAGTCATAGTTCATTGCCAAGCCCCTAGCTTTTAGGCTGGCCTTTTGGGACTTGTCTCTGGGGACCAAGCACCATATGGCTTTTCCTGGGGGTGTGTGTCCTCATCTCTGTGAAAGAATGGAGGACATGGGGCAGAGAAGAAGCAGCAGGTGGGTCCCCGCATCTCTGTCCCAGCTGTGCATGTCCTCCCATTCCATAGGAGGGATCTTCAACTGTCTCACCTCTGGCTGCCAAACAGGAACAGCAGCAGAAAATCCCCAAACAAACAAAACTCCATGGAACTGCCTAGCCCTGCCTCCTTCTCCCTTTCCTTGCTCATCCCGTACCCCCCTTTCCTCCCCTATCTCCACCCATGCCTCCCTCTGCTACTTGGGGTTCATCTGATCTAGGCCACTGTCTCTACCACAGTCAGTGGGGATCTCCATCCTCACTGAGGATCTGAGATGGCCCTTTTCTGGCCTTTGTAAGAAGCCTGACCACCTGGGGGTTCAGCAGAAATCCTGGGGGAGCTGGATTCTGGCTGCAGGCAGCTCATACCTTCTGATACTCTGGTAGCCTGTCCTGGTTTGTTCTTGCGTGGTTCAGGGACAGGAATCTTACTCTCCATCCCCACCAGTTTATACCTTTGACCCTGTTCAAAGTGGTGGCAATTCCTGTAAGTGGTGGCAATTCACAATCCTGCTCATTCAGGAGGCAGAGAGAGAGGACAGAGGAGAGTCAAGGGCTGTTCAGAGGCAAGGGATCTGGAGAAGGCTTGCCCTCCCGGAAGCCTCTGGGGCTTGCTCCTCTAGCAAGAGGGGGCTTTCCAATTTTTTCTCCTTCTTCCATTTTCTCTGCATGGCTCCCTCCTGACCTCTGATTGTCTCTCTCTTTCTCCTCTGTCTCTCCTTCCTCCATTTTCTGTTGTCTAGCACTGACTTTCTCTTGTCTCCTGAAGCTTAGAGTCCTGGCTCCTTTGTCTCTCATCCCTGGGGAAAGAGAGGTGTTTGGATTTGTCTCTCCATGGCCCGGCTGACTGGCCCTGTGGAATGGCATCCCTGTGTCATAGTTTCAGTGCCTTCTCTTTGCCCTGCTCCCCATTTGGCCCGAGGCCTGGCCTGTGGAGCGTGGGCCTCATAACGCAGGACAGTGAGACATATTTGCTGCATGAATGTTCTAGTGAGCACACGCCAGCCAGGCCCAGGCTCTTGGGCGGCATGCAATTCGTGGGGCAGGGGAGCCAGGAAAGAGTTTGGCATCTGCGGGAGAAAAATCTTAGCCTCACTCTAGTGCAGGATGGGAAGGAGGGCCTCTCCAGGAAGCTTTCCTGGGTGAGCCTGCCCAGGTTCCTGTCCATCTCTCATTCTCTCCTGAGTGTGTATTGTCCACACCTTGATTATTGGCTGGGTCAGTGCCCTCTCCCTGATGAAGCTGGAAATGCCCAGCCTCCTTTCTCTGGATCTTCCCTGTGAGCAGGGCCATTAGGAAACTGCAGGAAGGACGTCCTGCCCAGGGGCCAAATCCTGGGAATGGGGCCTTTGGGCCTTTGAGTAACTGGGTTATGTGATGATAAGAATTTATAGGGCCCCGGAGCTGGAGACTGGGGCGTTGAATGGAAGTTTGGGAAGGGAAGAGGCCCAGAAAGGAGAAACTAGCAGCAAGATGGAGAGATGAAGATTCCGCCAAGTGCGCTCTGGAGACAGGGAGAAGACGCTGACCCAGGTGATAGTGCCTGGGACCCTTCCCGGAGGGGGATAGTGGGATCAGGCCTGGAGGAAGAAGAGGGGTTGTCCAGGCAGGGAGGAAAAAGGTGTTTCAGGTTCAGGTAGCATCATGAGCTGGGAGATGAGAAACTGTGTGGGATGTGGTGACAATGACGAGAGCCAGTATTATGGGAGTGTTGGAAGTTCTGTGGAGCTCGGAAGAGCCATGGCTTCCTCAGGAGCCCTTGGAGGCTACACTCACAGAGCCCTGCAGTGGCTCCCTGTGGCTTTTGGGAAGAAAGATTCCTTGGAATGTCAAGTGAAGTCCTGTGCATTTGCTGCCCTTCTTCTCTATGTTCCGTCCCGGGTCCTCTCTGCTTTCCTTCTCTCTGTACCCTTCCCTATCTTCTTCTCCTCACCTCCAAAGGCCACATCTTTGTGGACAGTGAAGTGGTGCCATGTGTCAGGGCTGGGCATTTTCATCATCAGTATGATTTTATTGGATAGCACTAGTCTCTAAAGAAGGCCTCTGAGATGGGCCAGGAGGCTATATACTCCTGGAGGCTGTGACCTGATTAAGACAGCATGGGGCAGTGGCAGGAGCTCTGGACCTGGAGTTAAGAGACCTGGTGTCTGGTTTGGGGCTCTGCCATTCACCTGCTATGTGGTCTGGGGCCAAATGCTTGACTTCTCTGGGCCTCCAGGGCCTATAAAATCAGGTTATACTGAAGGATCATTGTTTTTCTTCCCATTTTGGTGCCATAAGTGTTCCTCAGACTGTCATCAACCCCAAGCTATGCCAGGTACTCAGTTTCCAGTGGGAACCAGGGCCCTCAGCCAAGCAGCCTGCTGTGGAGGTCAAGGCGGGTGTGGGCCTTCTGTAATGAGGGCAGGCCTGGAGGGCCGGGGGGAGGTGAGCACAGGCTAATTGCACTTTCCCGTCTTCAGAGCACTTAGCCCAATTTGTAATTATTTATTGTTGGTTGTTTACGTGTTTGTGTCTGTCTCCCTGGCCAAGCTCTGGGAGTATACAGGGTGGTGTGGGGTTTGTTCCTCAGTGTCCTGACCCAGTGCTTGGCACCCAGTAGGTCCCTGATGACTAGTTCTTTCTGGAATGAGTAGAAGGCTGCCCTTTCACATAGGGCACTTGTATACCAAGAGCTTTGGGATGTTATGGAGTGACAGACCCTGGGTGGGCTGTGGAGGAGTCAGATACGGGACATCCCACCTCAGAGCCAGGCTCTGGAGCCCCACCCCAGCCACCTCCTTGCC